TCAACTTTTTAGTTAAACATATTAAACATTTAGACACGTCAATACAATATAAACATATAAGTATGACGTCTAACCTATCAAAAAAGTGTTCAACAAAATAAGTTAATGACCTTAAATCAAACAATAAGTTAATGTTAAAGACACTATGATCATTTATTGCTTACGCAATGATGCTGAAAGTTTGAATTATTCATAGTGATCAGTGATTGATGCGTGCAATGACCTGACATCTGAATGAACGCGACCGGCATTACAATAATTACGCACACCAATCATCGCCCTTGACGGGAGAAGTTTACGTTGAAAAAGCACAACAAACAAACAACGCTTACAGAATTACACAATACGGACTACAAATTGCCATACCACATTAAAGAAATAATGGGGACATTCATTAGTAAAGCACGCTGTTGGTAATTTATTCCATGGAATAAATGAATTATTCCTAATTACGCTCACACATGTCCTATAATGTACTGTAGTGACGCACATAGACGTCAAAGGTCATCTGAAATAACAACAGCCATGACTTTATAACTGTTCATGTTTTGCATGGTTTGTATTGCCAATAGTGTGTGCAGAGTGAGTCAGAGGGTTTAATTTTACGCCACACTCAGCAATATTCCAGCTATATTGCGACGGTCTGTAAATAATCGAGTCTGGACCAGACAATCCAGTGATCAACATTATGAGCATCGATCTACGCAATTGGGATACGATGACATGTGTCAACGAGTCTGTCCACCTGATCCTGTTAGTTGCCTCTTACGACAAGCATGGGTTGCTGAAGATAAATTCTGACTCGGATCTCCACGGGTCTAGTGTGAGCAGAACATTTGAAAATTATGTAACACTTGTTAAGTACAGATTATGCGTGGATCAATCCTCATGGTCACATCCAGTCTTAAATAGTGATGGAATATTATTTCATCCGAAGTATTGGTGTTTGGCATGCACGCCATGTAGTCAGGTACATACCTGGGCATACAATGGGCATCACACATTGTAGCCATGTGGGGAATCGAACCAGGGTTTTATGGGCGTGGCGAGCGACGACTTAACCACTCTAAATGCCACACACAGACCTACACACACACACACAGACCTACACACACAGACCTACACACACACACCTACACACACAGACCTACACACACACACACACACACACACACACACACACACACACACACACACACACACACACACACACACACACACACACACACACACACACACACACACACGGTCTGGTGTAATTCGGAAATGGATGTTAGCTTCTTATCCCCCAAACAACTAACTCTGTGCCACTTGATACGTTCAGCACACCAACTGGGAAACTGGTAGGCTACCCTACCGCCCATCCTGAAAGTATGACAACCGCCCATCCTGTATGACAACGTATGACAACGTATGACAACAAAGAACACAAACACCAGATTACATTCGCACATTTTTATCAATGGAATGGCTTCATTGAGGTGACTGGAAAACTTAACGGAACAAACATTGTGAACATTATTCTACTGGACACAGAGATAAGGTAATACATAACTACATTGTCGGCAAACACCCCACACCAAGTGAGTTTGCTTTTTGGCCGTGAAATGTAATGTAGTTTTATCACAGAATGACAGACAGGTTGGTTGTGAGAGAAAAGTATTCATTTCATAAAATGGCACCCCCTAACACTTTCTTACATTATGCCACTTCTTTTAGATCCGATATGAACCATTTGCATGTTCGTTTGAAACAGCATACTGCATAATTTGTGATGAACAAGCATAAATATAAACAACAAAAGCACAACATCGTTCAAGGATGTTTTTCATCATCTCAGCAGCAGCAACTACAATTAATTCTAACATTTTGAAAAACATACCTGTTGAAGTGAAATTTTACTAAACATTATTTTACTAAAAATATTGGTATTTAAGCATCTAAGTCAGAAAGTGTCAACATGACCACTATTAAAACGACAAACATTTATCCATGTCTACCTAAAATGACTTGACAAAATTCCTCATTTCATGCATCTAAAAATAAATTACATTCATTCATTCCATTCGACCATACATATCAAGTATACACTTCGTTGCACAATAACAGTCTCTATTATTGCAAAAACATGTCAATGAAAATTTCAGCCCGAAATGAACTAATCGACTCGTGTACTTTTTCTGCTATTCTACCTTCTAAAGCTGTTTTGGGCGGATATATGATACTGACCACGTCGTATATTCAGTGTCAGTCCTAAGGATCAACACAAGCTGCATTTTTGCTTTGGCACTCGGGACTATTTACAAACATAGAATGAACGTTTAACAGGACATTCTCAAAACTCAAAACATGTCACCTTGACTACACACATGTGAAAAGAAAACAACATGCATGCCTTCGTATATCTAGATGGGTGGCAAGGTCCATTATATTGCATACTAAACTAATGTCAAGACATTTATTGTTTAGAGTAGATGTAAAGTCGTGTGAGAATCGATACAAACACAATGATTATTAACTACCTTTCACTAATAACTAGGGCTGCGCAATATAACCGATTTACCGGTATGAAAACATGAAAACGATACGTATTGCGATACGCTGATCGAAAACCGGTATTTTGACTTGCATTCGGAAAACGTCGTAACACTCGGAAATCTTCGGCGATTTCCTTGTTTCATTTGTGCCAAATATTATTCACATTTTTATTTTATCATGATTAAAATTTGTTATTAAAGCTTAATCAAGCATAGTGATTTTGTTGTGTTTTTGCTCTATAAATCAATCAGTAACTCGATTATAGTAGTGTTTTGCTCTATAAATCAATCAGTAACTCGATTATAGTAGTGTTTTTGTTTAGAAATACTTCATGCAATATATTGCAATACATATCGCAATACATGCTTTCACATCGCAATATATCGCAATATGAATATTCTCTGCAATACCCACCCCTACTAATAACTTACCTAAACATACTTCCATATAGTGCCCATTTCGACAAATCGATCAGACCCTAATCGCTATTTATAAATCTTGCCATTGCCTATTGTAAATATTTGAGTGCTAACATTGGGCTAAACTTGTATCGTTGGGGAAATAAGGAAACATATTGACCATTGCTCTTTTATACATGCATTATAGTAAGGATCCACTAACAATCTGGACATGGAAGGCGTACATTGCAGATATCACGTCATTATTCAATCATACTTTACCCGTTACTTGCATCTTCGTTCATTTATGACGTCACAGTTACACAATTGTTCATCGTTGATAACGAAAACGTATCACAGACAAGATATTATGGTGTCCTTGGTGGGTTTCCCTGAGCGTTAAGGCAATACAACATTTAATATTCAGAGGGTCAATCTGACCAGCGATCATCGAGTTCATACGTATGACTTCAGAGGATCTGTATAGTCGCTGGTCATCCAATACACACTTGTTGCTCTTGGCGCAATCTGAGGTTGGAAGTACACACATATTGTTGAGTGGAGAAGGGCTGACCTATGGTCAACCAATACACATTTGTTGCTCAGAGGTGCAATCTGAGGTTGGAAGTACACACATATTGCTGAGAGGAGAAGTGTTGTCGAAAGTCGTCCAATACACATCTATTCTTCAGAAGTGCAACCTGCGGTTGACAATACACATGTATGGTGCAACATCGCTCTGAGAGAAGACCTGTTGTATTTGGTTGTCCAATACACATCTATCGCTCAGTTGGGTTCAGGGTTAACAATACACAAATCCTGCTCAGAGAAGCAATGTGGTCTGTGGTCGGCCAATACTCATTATTCTTCAGGTGCGGTTGACAATACACATGTATGGTGCAATACTGCTTTGGGGTCATCAACGTCTAGAATGGCGAGGTTGTCCTATGGTGCTGGTAGTTCACGCCAAGGGATAACTGTATCATGGCAACTGATCCTTCTTGGAATTCTGGGAATGGTTGGAAGACATATCACATGAAGGTTCCTACACTAACAAAACTATGCATTGTCTTGCTTCATGGTACTAAGCAGTAATACGAAGATTTTAAACAGGTGGCGCAGAAATGGGTCAGACTTTAATTACACATGCATGGCAAGGGTTTAGAAGTGTAACTATCACTTAATAAAAATGAAAGCCTTATGTCGAACTTATTTCAAGGCACAAAGGTCCATATTTAATAATCAAGATATATTTGATGAGTTAAACAAAACAGCTCTTGCCAGAACAGTGACCATATTTGCAGTAAGATTAAACTTTGTTTGTTTGCTGTTTAAGGCCGCACTCAGCAGTATTCCAGCCTTATAACGGCGGCCTGTACATAATCGAGTTTGGACAGGACAATCCAGTGACTGACATCATGAACATCGATCTAAGCAACTGGGATAGATGACATGCATTAACCGAGTCAGCGAGACCGATCATGAAAAATCATGAAACCAGAAAGTCGCCTGTTAAGACATGTATTGGTTGCAGAAGATCAATTCTAAACCGGATCTTCATGGGTTAATTGTAAGTATTAAGTTATATCACCATACAAGATAGAGTTATGTAACCATGTACGATACGCTCCAATTAATCAGATGTATGTCACAAAGGCTATCGTTTTAAAGACGACACGACTCCTCGCTGTGCTATGATGTTTCAAACAATGAACAGAGATGGGTTACATGTGATAGGCGTGTAAAAGATAGCTTTGATATTAGGGTTGACGTGTCTGATCACTGACCCAAATCAAAGGAGATAATACTAAGTGATACTCTCTGAAAGAGGTCTGACATACATACTGTTCTGGCACAGTCAGCAAAAGCGTCAAAAGATCACCGATACAAGATCGCATTTATGTAATTCAAACGCGGAAGATGATTTAATTGACATGATTGACATGACGCCACCACAGTTATCAATTCAACGCCTGATGAATATAGAACCCCCTGCTTGATCATTAGGTTCAATAGAAATAAAAGGTGTATCTATTTCATTACATATTATTTCGTTTCGTTTCCATTTGCCATTTCTATTTTAAATAACCAAGATGGCTGCTCTTACGTTATAAGAAAGTCCTAGAGAGATCCGTAACCTCGACCCGTGTATTGAGTGTAGAAATGATTGAAGTTGGCAACAATCACAGGGACGGGAAGAGCAATGGCCAGAACACCTGAAACTAAGCACAGCACTCCTAGACATTTGCCGACAACTCCTTGAGGAACATAGTCGCCATATCCTACTGTAGTCATGGACACAATTGCCCACCAAAACGCATCCGGAATACTTGTAAATTGGCCATTTTCTTCTGCCATCTCAGCATAATACACCGCTCCCGCGAATATCACCGTTGCAATTCCTAAGAACAACAGGAACATACTTAATTCCTTCATGCTACATTTCAGGGTCATTCCAAGGATTTGCAAACCTTGAGAATGTTTGCTGAGTTTGAGGATTCGAACCACTCTCAGCACTCGAAGGACTGACAACCCGCTTGCCTGATCGCCTTCGATACAAGCGTTTGTTGCCAAAGTGATGAACAAAAACACAAAATAGGGACAAATCGCTATGATGTCAATCCAGTTGCTTAAACTTTTCAGGAAGGCAATTTTGGAGTAACTCACACTGAATCGCACAATAGTCTCCGTCACAAACCAAGCTATACAACAGCTCTCAGTGAGAAACAAGGGTTCCCAGTAGTCAGGAACCTTTCTGATTTCGGTCTTATTATTTCCAATGTCAAAGGTCTGGTTGACACAATCCCTTCCTTTAAACTGCGGCAGCGTCTCTATGCAGAACGTCACAACGGAAACGAGAATAAACACCACCGACAAAACAGCAACAACCTTAGCGAAATAGGAACTTTGAGGCACTTCCATCACTTCCCAAATCCATAGCTGGATTTTATTTGAAGGTTTCAGGACCGTCTCCTCTTTTTGTTTCACGCCTTCCGTTCGTTCAAAGTTGGCAATTGTCGTGTTACCAAGCTCGTAGAAATATAGCTCATTGCGAAATATATCCCACGGTACGTCCAGGGGTCGTTTTAATCGCCCACCGCTCTGGTAGTAATACAAAATGGCGGGAAATGACAGTCTGTGTCGGTCGAAGAAATATTCCTGACGTTTCTTATCCCAATATTTGGCTCTTTTTTCAGGATCCCCCAAAAGGGTGTGAGGAAGACGGTTTAAAGTCCTCAGCTGTGTTTCAAATTTCATCCCACTGACATTAATAGTGACCCTGGTACACAATTCTCTCCTACAATCGTGTTCCTCCGGTAGATCCTCATTGTGGGCGAAACAGTAACTGTCGGCACGACCTTGAGCACCATGGGTAAGCAACCGACTGAAGGCGTCATTAGATGAGCCAAAGTCCTCCATGTTGATGTCGTCATGGTTGACGGCCTGGAAGACGTTGCTGCAGATTGAGCCATGGCGACTTGGAAGGGACAACGACTCCAGGTACCCGTCTCCGGGTTTCAGATGGTAGTTCTGATTGTGGGGATAGTTCCTATCCGGAGCAGTGTGGGGTACAAAATGCATATTTGAATATCACAGCTTCTGAATCGCAACCCCCACGCTCACCAAATCCAAAATAAATATCATCCTTTGATAACAATTATATCAATACCTATGTCACAATCTGGAAAACCCAAAACCTTGACCTTTGCTCCGATAATTTTCCTTTCGCAATGTATCCGACGTGTGCTGCAGATCATCAGTAGGTCACTGATTAACATTACGCATTCATATCTATTAGTACAGAGGAGGAATTAACGTAAGACGCCTTAATTACAATGTCACGCCGCAAACGAGGGCTCCATTAACACAGCAGGAGATTCATTTCCCGGCTGCAAATTATCTCAATTGTTCAAATGTCTCGATCACTCTGCATTAGCTGGTCCATTGGCCCCGAATACAACACATATCATATACCACAACAGACGAGAGCAGAATCCGATCCTCCTATCGTCGAGCAGTGGTGCAACGAGAACCAACCGTGACGACATGCATGGCATGAGAACAATTCAATCACTCATTGCTATTCGAGTGTTCCAGGCAATCCAAGTTGACCGACCGTCACGCTGTGATCGTGTGTGTTATGTTGTTGCAACAGACATCCACAGTAATATTTCCGCCTGTACAAGATCCAAATACTAGCGACGAAGACTCATGTTTGTATCTGTTCATACACAGAAATGACTTTTTACACTGTTACACTAGACCAGCGCTGATTTTCGTCGAATGAGCCCGCACCGAGTCACCGTGCGACAGGGAGACCTATTCCTGCCTACCTTATTACCACAACTTGTGTGGCGAACGCAGAAACCCTCACGAGCCCCAATCCTGAGACTGTCCGTCCTAGCGCGCTGGTAACAATATGGGGCAGGATTCATTCAATCCCTTTGGCACATATCCATATGGGACAAAACGCTGTAGAAATAGACATAGAATGTTTGGCACTTATTGCCTCGTGTAAAATGGGAGAATTAACAATCAGTAGCGTTACTCAAGTGTGTAGCGACAATACGGTAAAGAATTTTTTTTGTGGTTCCACCGAGGGTTTCTTTCATAACAGCATGTCTTATTTGAACCTGGATATACATTACAGAGATGTATACACAAGACGCGCATGGACGTCGTCGATCTTGACTACAAGTATCAAAGGCGAGTCAGCTATATTTAGTAAAGTCCACAGCACTTACTGAAAGAGTACTTTTTAAAAATTGTGCCTATATCATACTTGTTTCAAGATATTCGAATGCGTTAAAATAATCTGTTGATTCGAATAAGAGTAAATTGTACAGCCATTTCCCCCGCGACAATGCCAAAATCACGAACTTTATATATTTCCCTGCTAATATGCTATGCTTTTTTACAGCGATTAATGATTAAAAACAGGAATTAAAACAGATAACCCAGTCATATTCTTCATAAGACGTACGAACCGTCGGTGCAAATGTAATCATGTTGATTATGTAACGTTAATTGCAAAGCGTTATTATGTATAGATTTACGAACATTTTACTTACAAGTCTAGAAATATTTTACAGTTCGAAACTCTACCAGCTGATTTATATATGCATGGAATATTTATTCTATTCACTATTTGCACCCTGGATGTTCTTGTAATTGTGACAAAAGAAATTGAAATGAAATGAGATTGTTTCTCATTTCTCTTTATAACGTGAAATAGAACAGCGTGTTCTAAGGCAGTAGCGGAAGAAGTATCCACTCTCTGAGACAAAGTCTAGCCGAAACATAAGTGGATTGGAAATACCGTGTTAATAAGAAAAAGAAATATTAGGTTATGAAAAAGGTTTTTTGTCCGTTGTAAAATATAAACACCGCCATTTCTTCAAGCAACAGGAATTAATTAACGGTACATTTGGAATACGTCCATAGGACCAAAATACAAGAACACACATGGATGTAGTATACATCTCTGTTTACCCCTGACTGGTATGAATGTAAACAGGCCTGAGGGAATATTCTTTTACGCCACTTGTAGATAGGCAATATTCCAGCAATATCACGGCGGTGGACACTAGAAATGGTGTTCACATCCTATACTTAATTCGGGGCTTGACCAGGGCGTAGACATGACAAAACCACCACTCTAAACGGATACGAATATACACTTCAGGGACAGTTTACGTTTCTTTGTAATGCTTGTAACACACTTTTCAATACTAAGTTTTATCTTAACTTAATTTGCTTACATGTGTACTAACGATCTTATTCGCTTTAATTACAAACACACACAAACACACACACACACATTATATACTCATGCCAATAAAGGTTGTCACCCCCCTCCCACCCTAACCCCCACACCTCACACACCCACCACACACACTCTCCAATTAAAAAATTGAAGGGGTGACAACCATTATTGGCATGAGTATATATGACATTACAACATATTGCACTGATTATTATTAAAAGATAATTATCTGAATGTTTACTAAATTCGATGAATAAAGAACTAGTCATGAAAGTAAATATTGATTATCATGTAACAAGCTGTCAAAATATTAAACGTCTATAGTTGAAAATCCCACAACGTGATATCAACCATCAACAAGTGTTTAACCCTAACATGAACTCAACACTTATTGCTTAATACACAGAAAATTCCAACTTAAGATGTCAACATAATCCAGCATGTTCCATTGTACGTGTCTATTCGCTCGGAGGACGTGCTCAGACCATGTGAAATGAACACATATCCTCGTCCCAGCTTGCGGCTTAACAGCAGATCTCCTCAGTAGGTCAGACAGGTAATAACAACTGTTCACGGAGCACATGACAAACCAGTCAATCGGAATTGAGCCTATACATTTCACTTACGTCACCTAACTATTCAAGCACTAATTCACATAGTTCCATTGTGTATGTGCGTTAGGCATACTAAGCCGTGTATGGGGATATGGTTATAAGAAACGCATGACTTGTGTGCTTGGCTTGCGTACATATCTTCGTCAGGTGCATGTACAAATACCAGTTTATGACTGGGTAACAAGGGATTGTGTTGACTGTCGAGGTGATCGTATACATACGGCTGGTTAACTTAGTGGTGGTGCATCGAATGTACCCATAGGAAGATACCGTCTTTTCTCAGTCAGAAAATATAATTTTATGGTTCCCATAACAAACACAAGAACGTCTCATTTACCTCGAATGAATGAGCGAGTGACTTGGGGTTTACGCCGCTTTTAGCAATATTCCACCATTATCACGAAGGACACGAGAAATAGACTTCACAAATTGTATCCATGTGGGGACTTGAACCCGGGCCTTCGGCGTGACGAGCAAGCGCTTTAACCACTAGGTTACCCCACCTCCCCTAATCATCTCGAACTTCTAATGACATAAATACGTCTAGCTACAATAGACGTCAAGCTCCATATAGACGTCAAGCTTCATGCAAACATCAAGGTACATACTTACGTCAAGCTTCATGCAAACGTCAAGGTACATACAGACGTCAAGCTTTGAATAGACGTCAAGCTCCATGTAGACGTCAAGCTATATACAAACGTCAAGCTACAATGGACGTTAATCTTTGAATAGACGTCAAGCTTCATATAGACGCAAGCTACATACATACGTCAAGCTACATACATACGTCAAGCTACATACAAACGTCAAGGTACAACCAGACGTCAAATCACATGTAGGCGCCAAGCTTCAATAAACGTCACACCACATATATACGTCAAGCTTCATACAAACGTCAAGGTACATACAGAGGTCAAGCTTCATACAAACGTCAAGCTACAACAAGACGTCACATCACATGTAGACGTCAAGCTTCAGACAAACGTCAAGCTCCATATAGACGTCAAGCTACATACAAACGTCAAGCTACAATAGACGTCAAACTACATACAAACGTCAGCTACATACAGTCGTCAAGCTTCATACAAACGTCAAGGTACATACAGACGTCACATCACATGTAGACGTCAAGCTTCAATAGACGTCAAGCTTCGGATAGACGTCAAGCTACATACAGACGACCCGATGCAGTTATATGAATACGACCCGATGCAATATGAGCTGTGGAATTGTTTTCAGTCCCGTATAAAGTTAGATGTGTGCTAGAGCATGAAGGTGGTCGCACTTTGAATGATGGCGTACGGTCCGTTTTTACGATCTTGTCGATTTAAGATACCTACCATTATAGGGCATACGGTAATCGCACGTCAAAGAATACAACAGCACGCATGATTTGTCTACTCGGGACACAATCGGACCGTATGCTATTGAATGGCGGCCTCTCATGGTGTGTCTCAATACAGTGTAGGGACATTGTGACTCTTGAAAGGTGCACGTAGAGGTTGTAAAGAGAATAGGGTTTAAAATCGTGTTTAAGATTATTCAACGGATATTCCGACGTAAATGTCCGTCCGCGGGCGCGTGTGTGTTTGTGTGTTTGCGTGTGTGCGTCATTCTAAACTCCCAAGCTGTCAGGACACCCAGACACCATCTAAACATTCCAATCGTCAGGACACCTCGACACCATCTAAACTCTCCAGTCATCAGGACACCTTGACACCATCTAAACTCTCCAGTCGTCAGGACGTCTTAACTCTCCAGTCGTCAGGACACCTCGACACCATCTAAACTCTCCAGTCGTCAGGACGTCTTAACTCTCCAGTCGTCAGGAAACCCAGACACCATCTGAACTCTCCAGTCGTCAGGACACCTCGACACTATCTTAACTCTCCAGTCGTCAGGACACCTCGACACCATCTAAACTATCCAGTCGTCAGAATCAGGGCACCTCGGCACAATCTAAACTTTCAAACAATCACGACGCCTCGATTCCGTCTTAACTCTCCAGCTATCAGGACACCCCGACACCATCTATACTCTCTAGAGTTATTTACGCCCTGCTTCGAGAATGCCGATCCAGAC